GCAGCTGCAGCTGGGCCAGCCGTCTGCACCCTCACCCCAGCTCACCCCAACTCATCCCCCACCCCCGACCTCCCGTTGGCAGCTCTCGCCCAGGAAATCGCACCCAAGCCCACCCTGACCCAGCATGAGATGGGAGAAAGCGCGCAAGGCTGGTGTGGCCGGCGCCGCCGGCAGACCGCGGCAGTTCCTCACGGCAGCCTCCTCGCAGCCGGAAGAGTCCCGCACCCTGCTGGCCCCTCAGGGCCGGCACTAGCCTCTCACCTCTCCCTCTGCGGTAACTGGAGCCGCCCCAGCAGGTGGCAGCTGGCATGGCCCAGAGGTGGGGTGGCGGGAGCGGTACGGCGGGGAGGGCGTCCTCCCCTCCCCCTCGGTCCCGCAGGCTCTGGGCTGGAACAAAGCCCTCCACCCCTTGCCCCTGCCCTGGTGGCCGGCCGGGCCCTCTGCCTGCCTCTGTCTGACCCGAGGCCTGGGCCGGCGGCGGGGTCCTCCGAAGGGCGGGCGGGCGCGCGGGTTGGCGGCCGAGAAAACCCGCAAACTCGCCTCCCCAAGCCGCGGCCCCTCCGGCGCACAAGTGACTTAGAGGTCACGGGTGGCGAGTGGACAGTCGACCAAGCGGCTGCGCTGAAGGCCTAAGAGGCTTCCCAGCCCGCGGCCCAGGCCTGCTGCGGCTGCAGCGCCCCGCTTTCTGAGCGCCAGCCCCCGTCCTCCGCGCTGCTTCCCCAAAAGCCAAAGGAAGACGCTGAGCAGGAAGCGGGGGGCGCTGGCCCGGGTCGCGGGGGCCCGCCGCCCCGGGGCTGCCCTGCAAGGGGCGCCGGGTCCCGAGCGCGCTGCCTCAGGTTGTCTCCTCTCTCCGCAGGATGTCTGGAGACCTCAGCAACAACGTGACCGTGTGTAAGTGCTGGATGCGTCCTGTCCGCGTGGTGTGCGGGGTGGCGGCAGGCTGAGGCCACTAGGGCCCTGTAACACCATCTCTCCTTGCAGCGGTGACGAGCAGCACCATTTCGTCGAACGTGGCATCCAGGGCCGGTTTGGGAAGCCATGGCTCTGGAGGCAGAGGGCCCGGCTCTGGAGGAGGAGGATTCAGCTCCGGAAGCTCTGGAGGCAGAGGGTCCGGCTCCAGAGGAGGCAGTGGAGGAGGCTATGGCTCTGGCGGTAGCTCCAGAGGAGGCTCTGGCTCTGGAGGGGGCTCCTATTCTGGTGGGGGTTCCTATTCTGGAGGAGGCTCTTATTCTGGAGGGGGCTCCAGAGGAGGCTCTGGAGGGGGCTCCTATTCTGGAGGCGGTTCCTGTTCTGGAGGGGGCTCCAGAGGAGGCTCAGGAGGAGGCTCCTATTCTGGAGGGGGCTCCAGAGGGGGCTCTGGGTCTGGCGGGGCGTGCAGCTCTGGAGGGGGCACAAGAGGAGGTTCTGGGGGTGGCTCTAGAGGCGGCTCCGGAGGGGGAGGCTCCAGCTCTGAAAGGGGAGGGTCTGGGGAGGGCTGCGGCTCCAGCGTGACCTTCTCCTTCAGATAGACGGCTCCCTGCCTGACTGCCCTGTCTCAGAATGTAGAAACCCGTCTCTGCACCTCTAGTCGACAGCAAGTCAAACGCTGCCACCCACCTCTGTTGGCATTTGGGGGAAGCGATACCCGCACTTGCTTTCGAAATAGCTTCTTTCTAAGCCAATGGGTCGGAGCCAGCGACACCCTCTGTCCCCTGGGGAAGACTCTGCACCGTCTGGCTTTGTGGGTGCAGCCCAGCATCCCCCCTTCCCCCTCCTTGCACCCCCCCCACTTCGTGGTCCTTGCCAGCAAGTATTTTGTCGAGGACCCCATCTTAAAACCTGCATCTCTCCCCAGAAAAGCCGAGTTTCTGTGTATAGTTTGCCTCGCTGGCTCTGTGTCTCGACGGCTGTGCTTTGGTGTGTGTACAATAAACTTCATTTGCAGTTCAGAACTTGTGATCGTGTTTCATGTCGAGCTCGGCAGAAGTGGGTCAGCGGCAGCTATTAGTCATTGTTATCTAACTTAAGTCACCAGAAAACGGAGATTTGGGATGATAAAAGAGGCTTCCTGCGGGCGGGGCGTGCCGGCAGCGGCCCAGGGCTTGGAGACTGAGTGTTTCCCCTGGAAGCCTTTGAAAGCAGGGAAGCAGGGTGCACAGGAGCTAGTCTTGTGTGGGGGGCGGGTGATCTCTGAAGTTGTTTGCCAGACCTGGGGACTGTGGTGTTGCCACAGACTAGCGCGGGGATTAGGGGAAAAGCTTCTTTTCCAGAAGAAACCTACAGATTCTTAAATTCTTCAAACATTTTCCCAGAGCTGCCACCCTCTCCTTGCCCTTTGATAAGAGCTCTGGTTGAGGCCCCCCACAGAGCAACCAAAGACCCCCCTGAGCTCCATTCGGCCATCCACAGCTGTGAGTGTCCAAGGCAGAATTCCCTCAGTCCACCTCAGGGATGGTCAGGCAGCGGGAATGGACCCCAGGGTGTGGTCGGAGGCTGACCAGGGGACAGGCAGAGCACGCTGTGAGCTTCTTTTCCATTAGGAGAGGCCTGTGTCTGCTGGCTTGGGTGCTGCATGCTCGGCCAGCCCAGATGGCCATGTGACTCAGGCCCATGGACACGCCCTGTGCCACAGAGAGAAGCCAGGGGGCAGCTGCCTTGACCTACACAGCCAGAGGCCTGGAGGCAAGCACAAAGCCGGGAGCCAGCGCTTGGGGAGGCCGCAGGGCCCAGGGACACGGCACGTCACCTTCCCTTGTAGCCCTCCCAACCCCCTGGGCCCTCCCAACCCCCTACCACAGGGCTGCACCCAATCAGGAAAGCGTGCAGACACACACACACACACACTCACACACTCACATGCTCACACACTCACACACACTCAGAGAAAGGAGCAGATGGAGCTTTGAGATATCACCTCCCACCCATGACAATGGCTCATATCAAAAAGATTCCCAGCAAGTGCTAGCGAGGATGTGGAGAGAAAGGAAGCCTGTCAACCCCTGCCACACTGTAGGCGGAATGTGAGCTGGAGAAACCGGTAGCCCTGTCAACCCTGTCACACTGTTTGATAAAAACCAAAAACCAAACATTCCTATAGCAGACAGGCTTGCAATGTAAAGCACTTTTCAAAGCAACTGGGCATCCCGAGGGCTGGGGCTTAGGGGACACACATGAAGGGGTGCGGGGGTGTATTTCAGGTGTAAAATGGCATCTCCTCCAGGTAGTCAAATCAACCCACAGAAAATAAAGAAAGGAAAAGAGTGGGAGCCTTTTGTTCTGCTTGGGGTTGCCTGTCGCCGGCTCTGCCTTCAAGGTCCGGCTGGGGAGGAGGGAGTATTTTATTGCCTAGGACTTGGCTAGGTTCCCCTTGACAGTTTCCATCCACTCATCCATCTACCATCCATCCCCATCCATCATCCATCCATCCATCCATCCATCCATCCATCCATCCATCCATCCATCCATCCATCCATCCATCTATCATCCATCCATCCATCATCCATCTACCCACCATCCATCTATCCACCATCCATCCATCCATCCATCCATCATCCATCCATCATCCATCCATTCATCCACCATCCATCCATCCATCCATCCACCATCCATCCATCATCCATCCACCCA